TTATGTTATTTTTTGTTGCGTATAGGTGTTTTAGTAACTACGACTCGACACGGTATCGTATGGTTTTACCGTCACGACTTACGTCACGATTTTTAATATTAATACAGGGAAAGTTAAAATCTCTCCATACATTTGCTTTTGATCTTGTATTATATTGTATCTTGTAAACAGTTAGGTGTACAATTTTATTCTGTTCTGATCTGTTCTGTTCTGATCTGTCTTATTCTATTCTATTATCAGTAACAGATCACTGGCATATGTGGAAAACGAAATAATTCGAAAAGAAGGAAGAAATATTTATTTAATTAAAAAAATAACAAAAAAAAATGTTAACAATATAAATAAAAAAAGAAAGGCAATAAAATAGTACTACTTAGCTATACGCTATGTCTTTTATAACATGACGTTGATTTTCATTTACTTTTTGTATTTAGATTTTTGTTTTTGCTTTATAACTTACTAATACTATAAACGTGAAGGTGAGTTTGTTTATAAGAAAATCATATTTAAAAATTTACCGGCATATATTATAAGAAAATCATATTTAATAATTTACTGGAATATATTACATGAAAATTATATTTAAAAATTTACTGGAATATATAACATGAAAATTATATTTAAAAATTTACTGGAATATATTACATGAAAATTATATTTAAAAATTTACTGGAATATATTACATGAAAATTATATTTAAAAATTTACTGGAATATATTACATGAAAATTATATTTAAAAATTTACTGGAATATATTACATGAAAATTATATTTAAAAATTTACTGGAATATATTACATGAAAATTATATTTAAAAATTTACTGGAATATATTACATGAAAATTATATTTAAAAATTTACTGGAATATATTACATGAAAATTATATTTAAAAATTTACTGGAATATATTACATGAAAATTATATTTAAAAATTTACTGGAATATATTATATGAAAATTATATTTAAAAATTTACTGGAATATATTATATGAAAATTATATTTAAAAATTTACTGGAATATATTATATGAAAATTATATAATATTTAAAAATTTACTGGAATATATTATATGAAAATCATATTTAAAAATTTACTGGAATATATTATATGAAAATTATATTTAAAAATTTACTGGAATATATTATATGAAAATTATATTAAAAAATTTACTGGAATATATTATATGAAAATTATATTTAAAAATTTACTGGAATATATTATATGAAAATTATATTTAAAAATTTACTGGAATATATTATATGAAAATCATATTTAAAAATTTACTGGAATATATTATATGAAAATTATATTTAAAAATTTACTGGAATATATTATATGAAAATTATATTTAAAAATTTACTGGAATATATTATATGAAAATTATATTTAAAAATTTACTGGAATATATTATATGAAAATCATATTTAAAAATTTACTGGAATATATTATATGAAAATCATATTTAAAAATTTACTGGAATATATTATATGAAAATTATATTTATAATTTACTGGAATATATTATGAAAATTTTAAAGATGGCGGGATTTGAACCCGCACCTTTTACGCTGTATCAAGGTCAGTACTATTGACAGTAGAGCTTCAGTTTCAACTGCCCGCTTTGAAAGTTTTTAAACACATAATAGTTACTGAAATATGATTATCATATGTAATTTTATAATATTTTTATAATAATTTCCAATTGGTTTTTTATTATCAAATCATGAATAATTAAGATTGTGTTCCACGGAAAAAAAACCGCCTTAAATTTTGGTAAAACCCGTTATTTTGATGTAAAATCTAAATTGCTGAATCGATTTTATTAAAATTTTTACCAACCAATCAAATTTATCCTTTCAGATAAAAGAGATTTTTTTCAAATTGATTTACAACTGACGGAGGTATAAGATAACAAACATAAAAAATGCTACCGAATTCAGAATCTCTTTCTTTTTGAAGTCGGTTAATAAATGTTTTCAATTACCATTTTATTTTTGCTTTTGCCGTGAGGTCCCGGCGTAGAATGGGACATTTCTTCCTTTCTCATGGCCGATGTATGAGCAGCATACGTTCCTCCTAAAACATGAAAGCCAAACAGCAGTTGCCAATCCGGCTGCCAAGCATGGCAACTACTGACAAAACTCCACAATAGGGGGAGGCCTATGTCCAGCAGTGGATAATTAACGGCTGATACAATAATAATAATAAACCCAGAGATATTTGTCTTACAAGTACAAATTGTTATTGCAATTTGTAGCTACCCTTATATGGTCACCCATCCAAATAATAACCGACCCCTACGCTGCTTAACCTCTTTGATTGACACCAAACGAGGAGTGTTAATTAGAAGTATGAAGTACATACATGCATATATATACTTTTAAATATTACATAAAAACAGAGAAGAGTCCAACACGCAGGACATAATAGCCCCATTCTATTACTATTAGTCAGCAGGGGTAAACGTGGGTGGGCACATGTGAGACAAATATATGTAGTCGTGAGGCGCGTGAAAGGAATGAAAGATTATAATTAACGGACACCAGAATGGCGTCACATTCCGTGCTAGTAAAAATAATGGGTGCCCTGTTCTCGAGATGAAAGTTTTGAAAAGTATTAAGTTTTTTCTTCATGTAATCTTTTTCTTTATACCACTCAGGTGGCAAACAAATATATGGCCCACCTGATGGTAAGCGATGACCGTTGTCTATGAACGCCTGCAATACCATGGGTATTACGCGCGCATTGCCGACCCTGAAGAAACCTCTTTACCTCCCTTTTGAAGAATCTCAAGTTTGAATCCCAGTCCAAGTCTCTCAAAATATTTATTTATTTATCCTTTATTGTACAATAAAACTGTATAAGTGGAGAACTTAATGCGATATGGCATTTTCAGCAGCTACTCATTAGGTAAAAAGAGAAAGCGTATGACGGGTAGATGTGAAAAATATGTTACATAATTATAGTGACATACTAAAATAATTATACATAACACATAAAAAATACACATATAGTACATATACATTACTTTTAATATATATTATATATATAAGCATTATGAGATTGAGTCATTTGTAGCTAGAAATTTGCACTAGTTTAACGTGTGTACTGACTTTGGGATATAAAATTATAAATAAACATTATTAGACCGATTAAATAAATACTGAAAATTTTGTGCAATTCTGTTAAATTGCCAATGTTTTAAATTATATTTTTAGTAAAAACATTTATAGCCAAAATAATAATCTAACAGAAATAGAATTTCAAATATATCGCTTTTAAGCGACTTGAAAAAGGACGAGTCTCGATTCGTCTGTATTTTGTGTGTAAGTTACACAAAATCGTTGCTAATTCTAAACGAATTCAATTAATTAATTTTACAATTAAAAACACCAGAAGGAAACTTTGTACAAACGTCGTTTGCTTGGGTACCTTTGTTCCATTCGTGTTTCAACTGCAAAGCAGTGTTTGCATGTCTGTGTTCCGGTTTGAAGGGTGGAATATGGCAGTGAATTTATAGGGTACAGAGGAATAACATCTGAATCCTCAGGAATAGCAACGCATGGGGGATATCATGTGCGAAGTATACTTTGTTATGTTTGGTACTACTCATGTCTATAGGTGACGGTTACCACTTTCCATCAGGTGGGCCAGGTCAGCTTGTTTGCCAATCTAAGTTGCATAAAAAAATACAATCGATACGATTCACTTCTAGTGGTTGCTGAATTAGTTTCACAATTCCATATAATTTTGTCAGATTTAAAGCTACTGTTTCTTTTGTGAAACAAGATCTTGCACTATCAAATAGAATTAAGATTAAGATCGATTTAATAATATTATATGTTCAAGATTGTCAAAATATTGAGAGATGAGCCACACACATCTTTGTTTGTTACTTTAGTACATTGTCAATATTAAAAAATATATCTTCTTATTTACTCACCCCTTTTCCACTAAAATCAGGACGTAAACAACATTAGGTAGAATAGTAGAGGAATAATTCCATAGGTATGGTCCATTGCATATTAAAGAAAAAAAAAAACTAATTACCTACTATATTTCTGGAATTGCCAAAATATCGGAAAATATTTATTTAAAGTTATAAAATTTTCAATACTGATAAGTGAATAACTGAAAGAGTACATTGTAAATAAACTGTCTTATATGTCTTCTCCTTCCCCTCCCCCCCTTCTTTCTAAAAACAAATCGTAAACAACATTAGATAATACAGTAAGTACCTATAAAAAAAACCTAATGTCTAATCTATTTTTAAAACTGTGTTTTTTTGTTATTCAAATGTTTTTTATAACGAATAAAGAAAATTATGTGTAAACATATATTTTTATATACTCCCCCCCCTAAAATCAGGTCGTAAACAACATTAGGTAGTAAGTACAGTGGGGGGGGGGGGGATGATTCCACACGCACGTCCCTTTACATATTAATCATGCGAGCGCGACGTCGCTCGTTAATCATTGTGGGCCGCGGCCCGCAATCACTGGGCTGGGGCTTTTTGTTAATTAATCTGAAATGTATCGAAGCCGGGGTTATGTTTTTATTCTGTGTACATAGACCTACTCGTTAGTTATGTAAACTGTGACATGTGGATATTATTGAATCGAATTTGAAGGAAGATCGATTCTGAACACCAGAATTTTTCTAACTCAAATCGTAGTGAATCGCTGTCTGCAGTGATTGAGCTGTGGCTTTTTGTTAATTAATCTAAAATGTATCGAAGCATATATATTTATTATATGTGCATAGACTACTATATAACATTATAAGTTAGTTATGTAAAATATTCTAAAATAGGGGGTTTAAAATTAAATCGAATCGTAGGATCGAATCTCAATATAAATTACTGAAATTTTCAACTTAAAAATTGTTTACCCGGTTAAGAAAATATTTTTATTACGTGTAACTGTAATAACTGTAAAAAATCCACTAAGACCGAATACCAGACGTCCATGAGTGCATTTCTAATTTGTACATACCTTTGTAGGTGGCGTGGTGGTAGCGGGAGCGTCGGGTGCACGGGCGCGCCATAGCCAAGTTCCCCCCAGAATTCTGGCGTCGCATTCCGCTTGGTCATTCCACGAGTCATAATTCCACGAGCATATGTACCGGTACGGGAAAGTAATTGTTTTTGTGTTTGCACAAGAATTTGCATATGTGTAAATTCTCCTTTTCATCTTTCATAATTCATAATATTGTATTTTTTCTTTTTAGTTTTTGAATATTTAATAAGTTTAAGAACTGAGGAGAAGTTTGCGTGTATTAGCAATGTACTTGTCTCCAACTATGTGCAAATATAGTTGGATATTGAGTAAGTTGTTTGACTCGCGATTTGCAGGCATAATCCCTCTTATACTATTATAAAAATTTTGGGTTTGATTTTTTGTTCAACATTGTTCAATTTATTTTACCAAGTGTCTGATTATAATGAGGTAGTTATATACATAGCTCTCAACAGAAGTACCAGCGCCTGATATAGTTTGGAGGATTTGCTAGTTAAAATGGTAATGTGTGGGTCATATGGCTCGAATAATTGAAAACCTATTGAATGAATTTTTTTTTTATACAACTTAGAATGGCAAACAAGCTGACGGCCCACCTGATTTAAAGTGGTAACCGTCGCCTATAGACATGAGCAGTACCATGAACATAACAGAGTATATTGTTTCGCCCATGATACCCCCCATGCGTTGCCATTCCTGAGGACTCAGGTGTTATTCCTCTGTACCCAGTAAATTCACACCATATCCCACCCTTCAAACCGAAACACAGCCATGCTAATACAGCTGCTTCAAGGTTGAAACACGAATGGGACAGAGGTACCCAAGCAATCGACTTTTGTACAAAGTCTCCCTCTGGTAAAGTTCTCGAGAAGAGATTTATATACATTTCTTTTTGTGATAGAACGTAATGGAATGGTAACCTGCCTACACTAACGGTGTACACTAGTGTGGCATTAGAGAGGATGAACAAAGTTCGTGACGAATTCATCAGGATTTCACCACAATGATTTCTAGAAGGGAACCGCGAGGAGGTCAACCTGATATGTTTGAGTATATTGCTAACAGTAGGGATGTAGAAACTCATTATTACCAATCTTTTTCTCTATAATCCATGTAGGTAAATGTAGAGTAGAATGACTTTTCACTAGATGGAACAATGAACTCAACTTATCATGTTAAAAGATTCGGTGGATATATGACTCAGGGCCGTTCCTATTAGCATATTTACACAGAAGAAAAAATTCTTATTAGAACTCACGATATAAGGAATCTCTATTTAAAATTTCATATTTCTAAAGGCAACAGATTCGTCTATGCTTTGATAATGTCAGTTAGTCAGTCAGTTTATTGTTTTAAATATATACATATTATGTGCATAGATTCCTCCACATCCATAAATTTTTTCATACACATTTTTTTCGTCGGTTACAGGTATTCTTAATTTGGCCCTTCCCAGCACGTCGCCTATTTGGTCGACATACATTCTTCTAAGGCAGCCCTTGCCGACATCTCCATTCATTCGTGCTCGATAAATCTCTTGCATAATTCTTCTTTCCTGAAATGGCTAAACCAACGCAATATTTCTTTATTTATTTCTGCCTCTCTATCGTCTTTCAGTCCACACTAAATTATTTCTCTACTAGTCTCCCACTTAGAATAGAGTGTATAACATTACTCCTATCTAATATTACACTAATAAATAACCTAATGTCATCATGATCATAATTAATATAAATTTTAATAAACGTAAGTTCTACCACAGACCCTACATACGTCGTGGTTCCACACAAGTTATCTTACACTATGCTTTCTGATTCGCCGTATCCACTCTGGAATATATGCACTTAATTCTATGGTAGATTGTTTTATACCACTAAGAATATGACTAGTTCTCTTTCTTTCTTTCTTTCTATTGCCATTTCAGTTTGCAAACCAGTGAACTATATCAGTAACTTCGGTCCTCATATTTATTTGTTTTGAACTCGATTCCTCAGAGATTTCCAAGCAAGCTCTTTCCTAAGCTCACTGAGCGACTTTTAATTGGTGGACTAGCCTTATTGTTTTTAATAAACGCTTACTATAAGACTAGTCCACGAGCTAAAATCTTATCTATCATAGCCTGTGGAGTATTGATGCTCAATATTTGAAACAGTCACGAGTTCTTTTTATAATTTCAATATTACCCTGAAGAAGATAGGTATGATTATCCCTTTCTTTTTATACTTTTTTTTTTTTTTTTTTTATACCACTGTGGTGGCAAACAAGCATACGGCCCACCTGATGGTAAGCGGTTACCGTAGCCTATGAACGCCTGCAATACCAGAGGTATTACGCGCGCGTTGCCGACCCTGAAGAAACCTCTTTACCCCCCTTTTGAAGAACCCCATGCTGTAGTCTCTCGGGAAAACCTCGGCAGGGAGCTCATTCCATAACCTGAGTGTTCGTGGGAGAAAGCATCTCTGAAACCGCGTTGTACGCGACCATTTAGGCTGTAAGGTATGAGGGTGAACTCCCTGCCGATGGCGAGCCGTACGATGATAGAAAGTGGCCGTAGGCATCATATTGAATAATTCCTCTGAGCACAATCCGTTGTATAAGCGGTAGAACACGCAGAGTGAAGCAAAATCTCTCCTAAGACTTAAGGGTTCAATACCGCTTGCAAGCATGGAATAGAATTATAATAATAGATTTTGTAATAGAAGCCCACAATAGGTCACGTATCTTGGCAAGAGATTCTCTTTCCAAGTTTACTTTATTTCCTTTGCTATCTCTTATAATATCCTGGAGTTGAAAACAATTGATATATTTAAATAAGTCGCCCACAATAGGTCACGTATCTTTGCAAGAGATTCTCTTTCCAAGTTTACTTTATTTCCTTTACTATCTCTTATAATATTCTGGAGTTGAAAACAATTGATATATTTAATATCGTATTCTCACTACATGGAAATAAAAGAAAAAACATAAGGATAACGGTTTCTGGGAAATATTTGGTTATTGATAACTACCTGTATTAATTACTAATCTTATAAATGTGGCTCATGACCGTTCTTTATGGCACTCTATGGGGGAGGCTTATGTCCAACAGTGGACGGATAATGGCTGAAATGATGATGATTATAAATGTGAAAGTAAGTTTGTCTGTTAACTTATAGCGCTTTAACGACAACCAATTATTATGAAATATGGAATACCCGCACTATATAGGATAATGAAGGACATTTTTTTTATTTATACAACTTAGAATGGCAAACAAGCTGACAGCCCACCTGATGGAAAGTGGTAACCCTCACCTATAGACATGAGCAGTACTATGGACATAACAGAGTATACTGTTTCGCCCATGATACTCCTTATGCGTTGCCATTCCTGAGGACTCAGGTGTTATTTCTCTGTACCCTGTAAATTCACTGCCATATCCACCCTTCAAACTGAAACACAGTTATGCAAACACAACTGCTTCACGGTGGAAACACGAATCGGACAGAGGTACCCAAGCAAATGACTTTTATACAAAGTCTCTCTCTGGTAAAATGGATTTTTATTCTAATCGGTGAACATGTTATGGTTATTCGGACAAAGTCATGAGTAAAAACTAGTATATTTGTAAAAATGTTTGAATAAGTAATCAAATTGTATTTGAACAATTTCACATAGACCAGTATGATGAAAGATAATTGTTTTTCAGTTCGATGTAAAACGTTACCCCACATTATACGTCGCTATTTTAATAGTACTTCCCCCATAGAATTTTGATGCTTACTATTTCGCATGGTCATTGCCATTTTCACAATTCCAGTGTTACTCCGACTGGGTAAGTATGGATAGCGGCTTCTTTTAAATACTTATACCTTTTTTTCTCTGCGCAGCAAAAAACTGCTTATTGCAAAAAAATCTAATTGTAGACACACGACTTTAATATTTTCTATCTAACGTGTCTACGATTATATGATCCTTTCAAAACATTTAAAATAGAAAGTTACTTAAAATTTGCTATCATGCAATAAAGATCTTTTTAAACTTATAATAAGGATCTCGTATTTCAACCGTGAAGCAGTTGTGTTTGCATAGCTGTGTGTGGGATATGGCGTGAATTTACTGGGTACAGAGGAATAACACCTGAGTCCTCAGGAATGGCAGCGCATGGCGATTATCATGGGCGAAACAGTATACTCTGTTATGTCTATGGTACTGCTCATGTCTATAGGCGACGGTTACCACTTTCCATCAGGTGGGCCGTCCGTCAGCTTGTTTGCCATTCTAAGTTGTATAAAAAAAAGATTTTAGATTTATAAACGACAAAATAATATTTGGAAATTTCAAAACTGATATATATAGTAATTTTTTATATTATTTTTGAGCCCAATATTCTATAATTGTCAGGTTATTCCGATACTATAACACTTTTTAAGTAATCATACAGAAATATTAAAAAAATATTTACCAATTTTCGAAAATTTACGATCTGGAGAGAGAGACAGAGAAATTGGTAGATTCATATTTAAGTTCCAGTATTAAGGCTCTTAAATAAGATTTAGCTGAATCCACTTCCATATAATAGAATACAGATATTTGCAGAATGTGGGTCTACACTTGATATTTTACGCGACTCGTTTTAAGCGGCCGTAACACATTAAACGAATAATTATACCGTGTAATTATGTAAGTTGGCACGACTATTATGCACACAGTCTTGTGTTCATGCCTTAACTGATACATAGTCGTGAGATATTTGAATTTGTAAATGGAATACGTTTCTCGCAAATGTTTACAGGTTGAGTAATAATTATGTACGTCAAGCCGAAACCGTGTGATCAAGAAAGTATGGAGGAAAACGTCTCATTCCTTTTCCTTCGATACTTTCCTCCAAAGAGTAAGTAGCGAATACCAGCAACAAATGCATCTCTAAGAGTTGACGTTAAGCAGGCAGCTGGTGGTAAATCTAGCCAAAACCTTGGGATTACTTGAGATGGATGAAAAAATATTGCGTGTTTTCCGCAAATGGTCACTCTTTTCTCCTTCTTTTGTATTATGTGGCACTTCTACTGGGAGTACTTCTGCGTACATTTTAACTATAGGGATTGTGGCTAAAATAGCATAAAAAAACT